ATGAATGACACGAGCATGCAGTGCTTCCGATAGCGACGCTAGGAGCCACGAGAACAACATTTGATCTTGTTGCTCCCAGGCAACATAAGCTTCGTTCATCATTCCTGCTGCTTCATCTTCATCGGAGATAAATTGCTTTGGAATTTGTGGTTTGACAATGAATCGAAGAAGTTTGTGTGCTCGAACGACTGATTCTACATGATGTTTCCAGAAGATGAAGTTGTTATTGTCAAGCTTGAGTGGAAGAGGACGTGCGAATGTTACTAGAGACACAAAATTTGTGGAAGTTGCAGTAGCAGAGGAAGAGTTTGATTCGGCATCTGTGATCGCCATTGATGGATCGAGCTAGTGCTCTGATACCATATTAGAAAGAAAGAGAGGCAAGTATTGAATGCTAACAGAAAATCTCAGATTGCATTGAACTGTATTAGAATACAAGTATTTATAGAGTTGGTTGTACTAACTAACATAACAAACCAACCGAGGCACTACTAAACAGTATGATTTAAACTTATTCTAATACAGAACTTTTAGTCTACTACAAGATGTATATCTAACAGTATCCTTCTTACTTTGGCAGTTTCTCATCATTGGTCCATTCAACAACTAGATGTAAACAATGCATTCCTCAATGGGGATCTTGAGGAAGAGGTGTACATGACACAACCTCCTGGTTTTCAGGCCACATATACCTCTCTAGTTTGCAGGTTACACAAATCTTTGTATGGCCTTAAACAAGCTCCAAGGGCTTGCTTTCATAAACTCACTTCTGTCCTATACCAAGCTGGGTTCAAACAAAGCAAGTGTGATCCTTCTCTTCTCATTCTTTTGACTTCTGGAATACAAATCTACATCCTAATCTAAGTTGATGATATTCTAGTAATTGGAAATAATTCTACTGCCATTCAGCAGATTATTCATAAACTTCATTCCTCATTTTCTCTCAAAAATCTAGGGGATATTGATTTCTTCCTTGGTATTGAAGTTAGAAAACTCTCTGGTGGTGCTCTGCACCTATCTCAAGCCAAATATGTCAGAGACCTTCTACACAAGGTTGGAATGTCAAATTCCAAAGGGGTGAAAACACGTATGATAAGCAGTTGTAAGCTCACCAGTGAAGGAAGTGATTACCTTCCTGATCCCTCTTATTACAGATCTGTTGTGGGAGTCCTGCAATATGCTACTTTAACCAGGCCTGAACTAAGCTACTCTGTGAACAAAGTCTGTCAGTTTATGGCTGCACCTCTACAAGAACATTGGAAGGCTGTGAAGCACATTTTGAGATATCTGTCTGGCACTATCACTTATGGTCTGATCATCAAACCTATACCTCTATCCACAATGCCTCTACCAGTTTCAGCCTTCTGTGATGCTGACTGGGCATCTGATCCCACAGACAGGAAATCAACATCAGGATCATGTATATTTCTAGGCCCCAACATCATTTCCTGGTGGTCTAGAAAACAACTGAGGGTTGCCAGGTCTTCAGCTGAAGCTGAGTATAGAAGCCTTGCTGACACTACTTCTGAGATTCTATGGATACAATACCTACTCAGAGAACTTCAAACTCCTTTTGTCACTCCCAGAGTCTACTGTGACAATCTCAGCACAGTACAACTTGCTTGCAATCCTGTCCTACACTCTCGAATCAAGCACTTGGAAATTGATCTCTTCTTTGTTCGAGAGAAAGTTAGACTTAAGCAGCTTGAAGTCTTCTACATTCCACATTGAAGCCACTTTCTGCTTCTACTTTTCTTGAGTTTAGAAACAAACTCAGTGTGATTGATTTTCCAAAGCAATCACTCTCAGTTTGAGGGGGGAATGTTAGGAATAGTATATAGAACTACACATACATTTCTATATACTTTATGGTAGTTATAAACTGTTAAAGCTTCTATACTGTTAAGTTGTTAGTCTGTTATGACTATCAACTATATAAACACTCTGTAACTACTCATTTAGTAATGATGATTTCATTCTCCATTTTCTCTATTGCTTAAACTCTAATAATGATCTTCAATAAACAACAACAATAACATCCAAACCTTACTCCAAAAGAGTTTGGGGTCGTGAAATATGATATCAGAATTAAAAAAATTAGATAGAAAAAGAAAGAGAAACCATATAAGATCAATCCTCCATGCATATGCCCTCCCAACACTTCATCCTCTCCAACGCTCTCATCTAGCCTATGTAGTATCATATCATTCTTAATTACTTTACTCCATGCCTATCTAGGTCATCCAACTTTCTCCTCCCTCTTCTCCCGCTTCTCATTCTGTCGTAAAAGTGCATCACTCAGTCATTTACACACATGACCAAGCCAGCCCAACCGATACTTTTGCATCTTATCTTCAATAGGTGTTACTCACATTTTCACCTGATTGTCTCATTTCTAATCAAATTTGCGTAAGCGCATCAATTATTTTTTGTTGTTATTGACCAACCTGGCACCACAGACCCACCTTGCCGCAAAATAGCTTACTGTTTTTATAACTAATTGGCGCCTTTATTCGTAGGATACCAAGCATCGGTTTCGGGCAGAATGTCTGGGGCACCAATTTGGCCATACCCGGTGCTGCGTTCCGTTCGTTCAATATTCGTCTTCTAAGATTTTTACCGTCAAATTGCATCCTTTTATAAAACGTGATATTTGTGCGATTCTTCTTGAAGTTCTTATAATTACTTATAAAAATGGGCAGCCCGGTGCACATTGGCGTCCCCACAAGGCGAGGGTCCGAGGAAGGTTCCCACCACAAGGTTGTATAACGGGTAAGTCTTCCCTTGTCATTTTTGACAAGTGGCCGCTCCCAAGACTTGAACTCGTTACCTATCGGTCACACAGCAACACTGTAACCGGTGCGCCAAGGTTCCCCATCGAGTTCTTATTATTACTTATCATCATCATTACCCCAGTGCCACAAAGGCTCCTACCTACGGTGGGGTAAGGGCCCCCAGATGTACGCAACCTTACCCTTGTACTAAAGCACAAATAGACTGTTTCCGGATGACCCATAGTGAAAATCGCGCCGAAAATTGCACTCTCTAATACTCTGCTTTTTTCCTCCTACATGTGTTTACTATAATCATTTTATCCACTAACCCAAACTCAATTAATTTTTTTGGTGGAATGGGTTGTGAGGTACATTCCCTTCATAAACAATTTTATTCTTCTTTCTCTTTGTTAAAATGACAGTTCTCTTTGGTCATTGAGAACTAGAAGAATTTTCTTGCAGGGGCACAATTGCTCAATAAACCCGGGGTCATTTCAGATCCCTTTCTGCTTCGAGAACAGTATTTGTTTGTGATTGCATGTTCTTTTCCCTATCACCTTGCTTTGCATGATGGCAAAATTCGGTGCATGTTGGTAAATGCACATTAAGGGCCTAAGAGGTGTAAATTTTCATTTGGATTTCTAGAATGTTTTGCTTTTATAGTTTCATCTTTTTAGACAATTCCCATATTTCCTGAATATCCTAAAAGTGTGCGCATATGAAAATTATATAGGGTTGCTGCCCTTACAAGTACAACAACTTAGTTTTACTCCCAAATCATTGGGTCAACATCTTTAACCAATCAGAATATAACTTGAGGTCACCCACTAACCCTGATCCACCACTATATTAATTTCAATTCGTTTCTATAATGGATTATATGCTCATGAATCCCAAATGCCATAATGTCTCTTTTACACCCCCAAACTGTGTCATCTTAGGTCTACCACGACTCATTTTGATTTCCCCTCTTTACTGGTATATTTATTTTTTTCTTTCTTGCTAATCCATGGAAATCGTATGTTCTTCCTTCTACAGCCGCTCTCTCAAGTCCCTCCTATTGGTGACCTCATTTGAGCTAATTTCTGTTTGCACTTTGACCTTCAATGCTTCTGTAATTCATTACCATCCAAGGCCTTCAATTTAGCCCAATCGCAATCGTCTAGCCTTCAATTTATCCAAGAAGTAGTCGCTTTCTGTAAAAACAAACTCCATGTTGTGCTTGGGATGCCATATCATCTATTTTATCCTAAGAAGCTATTTATATCCAATTGCTCCTCCACTGCTTTAATGATTAAGGTCTGCTGTCACAGAAGGAGAGCTCTCTCCTCTCTTTAGAGCCATATAGCAGGACAGTCTGCTTCATCATCAGTCTCTTGGCCTTTTCCATTTTTTCATCATCCGAGATAAACTCTTTATCCTTGTGGAATGTCGGGGTTTTAACCCTATGCTTAATTCTATTCAGCATATCCTTATAATTTAGTCTCCATCCCATAACCCTGATAGCCACAGGCTCATTGAAACTTAAACCCTACTTACTGACATGGTGGTGAACTATGTTTCCACCACCATGTCAACTTGTTCATGTTCCTGGACATCAACCTAGACCTCTCTCTTCTGATCGATCATTTATGGCTCTTGGGTGGTTCAGATGCTCTGTTTTTGCACTCTCGATGTTACCCCCCTCGGCATCCATTACTACAATCTCTCATTAAGTTATGAAACTAGGTATTTTATAAATGTAGTAGACCACAACGTAGTCTGTGAAATCCTGAAAGGTTAACTTAACTCCATTAATATGTGAAGTCTCTTTTAAACTAGGCAAAAAAATATGGCTGTCATCAATGCTGTAAAAATTGCTAGGCACTAGGAGGATGGGGTTTAGTGCTATGCAGGAACTAGTCAGGGTTTGGCGGGGCCTGATTGGGAAATCGGCAGAGGTGTCTGAGGACTTTCTAACCTCTGAGGAAATTAATCGAGGCTAGACAGATATTTTTCAAACAAAAATTGCCGCATCTTGTAACTTCATTTACTTGAATGTGTTGTTCCAATCATTCTGTTTTGATATCATTGACCTTCAAGTTGTTTGTCGGGTATTATAAAATGTTGGCGAACATAGCTTTTGAAGTTCTCTGGCTTTTCATTGGTCCTGTAATGCGTGATCTATGACTTTGTATATTCCAAGATAAACTGTCAACAACTTTTTCTTCTACTTTTGAAATGCAGACAAGCCAAGGATGCACTCAAGGTTATCAAGAAACGTCTTGGAAATAAAAACCCTAAAATACAACTCCTTGCCTTATTTGTAAGTGTAATAATTATAAGATCCTTAGGATTTTGGTGTACAGAATAATGTCCTGTAGATGTTATGCCACACACGGAATTACGGGAATGAACACAGAAAGAGGCACATAATTACATATCTTTTAGTTTCCTCTGAAAGTGTTGGTTTATTTTGGTAGTATATCGTATTTAATTCATTTCCTTTTTATGATTGTACGATTGCATTAGTTTTGTCAGGATGGAACTAGCTATTTCATTTCCTTTTTAATAGTTATGTACTGATGTGATAGTTGAACCCTACCGATATAAGGGACATTTGTACGCCATCTCTGCATACACTGGCTGTTTCCTAAAGCACAAGCCGTTTTCTCTTCTTGAAAAACATTGCCTTTTCTTTTCTCCTCATTTTGCCTTTTATCCTTTAAATACTAGGCTGGCTGCCACTAAACACAATAGGGAAGCCTTCAATCCATTCAATCCATTAACAAGATCTTTTACCTGGAGGCATATTACTTTGATTGCGCTGAGTTTACATGGACGATCTAAAAAACCATCAAGAATGACATCCATGTTCTTCAAATCCGTCTCAAAACTTGAGTGTCCATGCACTCTTTCCAGACTTCTGTTATCTGGCCATGGGATAGTGCAATCTCTTACCACAACGGTGATTGTGCTCGCACAACCTATTGTCAATTTTCTGGGCATGAGAGTTTAGGTTTACAAAAATGTTTACGATCTTCTCCAATATTTTGTCTCATCAAACCAATATGCTGCTCATTTGTATACGTATGTGCAATGTGCACACCTGATGATTGAGTGCAAATAGTATTTGTATGCTCTTATATTATTAGAGCAATTGAGTTTGAACAAGAAGCTTCCGAGACAATTACCTGCAAAATAAGGTTTTGAAGGTCATAGTTGTAAATTGTGCTTTATGTAAGGGATTTAATAATTTACTCTTCTATACATCTCGCTTCTCTTTATAACTTTATTCTTTGAGTTGAATATGATGCAAATACATTAAGCGAATTATACATTATCATACTATGTATGCGTCACATGTATGTAATGGTATTGTAAATAATAGTGTAGCTCCTATTAAATTTAAGGAAATAGGGGATAAGGTCCAAATAAGCCATTTCACATTTTTTTGAAATCTGATCTGCTGGAGTATTGATTGGCATTTGAGATCTGTAAGTAACTCTTCTTCCAAACCTTCCCATTCCTGTGAAGTGACTATGGAAATAGCATTGAGAGAGGGTCTTCTGGACAAAGAATCTGCAGCTCTATTCTCCACTCCAGGTTTATACTTGATAATGAAATTGTAACCCAGTAATTTGGAAGTCCATCTTTGTTGCTCCTCCCCCAACAATCTTTGTTCTGTTAAGAATCTTAAGCTTTTCTGATCTGTATGAACTTCAAAAATTCTCCCTAACAGGTAAGGTCTCCATTTTTGGACTGCCAAAACAATAGCCATCAACTCTCTTTCATAGACTGACCTGTTCTGGTTTCTTTTAGACAATTCCTTACTCATATATGCAATAGGCCGACCTTCCTGCATCAAAACAGCCCCCAGACCTGTACCAGAAGCATCCGTTTCTACAATGAAGACCTTATTAAAATCTGGGGTTGCCAAAACTGGTAGAGTGGTCATCCTGTTCTTTAATTCCTCAAATGCCTTTGTAGCCTCTGTCCCCCACTGGAAACTGTCTTTCTTTAGAAGCTGTGTTAAAGGTAAAGCAATCTTGCCATACCCTTTTACAAACCGTCTGTAGTAGCCAGTAAGTCCCAGAAATCCCCTCAATCCTTTCACATCCTTAGGCTGTGGCCACTGAATCATAGCCTCTATCTTGGTAGGGTCTGCAGCAACTCCACTCCCAGATATTATATGACCCAAGTATACCAGTTTAGATTGCCCAAAAGAACATTTTTTTGAGTTTATAACTAACTGGTTTTCCTTCAATGCAAGTAATACCTTCCTCAAATGTGTTTGATGCTCTTCCTTGGATTTACTATATATGAGAATGTCATCAAAGAAAACCGGGGCAAATTTTCTGAGGAAAGGCCTTAAGACTTGATTCATGAGTGCTTGGAAAGTAGATGGTGCATTGGTCAAACCAAAGGGCATTAACAAATACTCATAATGCCCTTCATGAGTTCTGAATGCAGTCTTTTGCCTATCTTCCTCCTTCATTCTTATCTGGTGATAACCAGATTTCAAGTCCAATTTGGAAAAAATCATAGCTCCACCTAACTCATCCAGCAGTTCTTCAATGATAGGTATAGGGAATTTGTCAGGGACAGTAATCTTGTTCAAAGCCCTATAGTCACCACAGAACCTCCAACCCCCATCCTTCTTCTTAGCTAATAAGATAGGGCTACTATAAGGGCTATTACTGTGCTGGATTATACCTTCATTTAGCATTTCTTTTATGATTTTCTCAATTTCAGTTTTCTGGTAATGAGGATACCTGTAGGGCCTTATGTTTGGGATCTGTGCTCCTTGCTGAATATTAATTGCATGGTCACATGATCTGCTGGGAGGAAGTGTCTTCAAAGGTGTGCAAACTTCTGGAAATTCTGCCAAAATCTGCTTCCAAGTTTCATCTATTTCTTCCCCTTTTTTAAATTCCACAGACTTGCCTTCACAAAGAATCAAATAACCATCCCCTGCATCATTTAGAATCTGAGTCATGGTGTTCAAAGATACCTCCAGAGAATTCAAATGTGGATCCCCTTGTATTATTTGATTCTTCCCTTGCTCCTGCCACCTGATCACCTGTTTTTTAAAATTTACTTCCACATCTCCTAAGCTGGTCAACCATTCCATCCCAAGCACCATATCAGTACCCCCAAGATCCAGGATATAAAAATCCTTCTCAATTACCGCTTCTTGTAAATCTACAGTTAATGCTTCACACCTCCCATTATTAACCAGTTTGTCACCATTGCCAATCTGTACCTTATACCCTGTAATAGTGGTTTAAGGTATCCTGAGTTTATTCACCATCCCTTGAGATATAAAGTTGTGAGTAGCTCCACTGTCAATGAGTATGTCCACTTCTTTTTCTCCCAATTCCCATTTCAAGCAACCCTTCACCTTGAAAGCTCCCATGGAAGGAATCCCTTCCTTACTCATGAGTGATAACTGCATTGATTTGGATTCCATGCTAGTCTCCTCTTCTACAGGAATTTCCCTTTCTTCCCCATCAGAATTTTCTTCTTCTGTGGAATCTTCTACCATAATCAGCTTATAGTTTTTCAGTTTACAAGTATGATCCCTATTCCATTTCTCTCCGCATTTAAAACAAAGTCCCTTCCTACTTCTTTCCTGATATTCTTCTTGTGACAACTGAGGTCCAACTTTTCTGATGCTAGAGGGATGTATTTCAGTAATCTTCCGTCCTGCTTTATCAAACCAAGCATTGTTATTCTTGTCTTCAGCTCCATTTTTTCTCTGATTTGACCAGGAATTGCCAAATCTGCTCTTGAATCCTTCACCCCAATTCTGATTTTTCATAGGCAACGGTCCTCTCTCCTTCCCAGAAAATTTATCCTCCTCTTTTCTTTTCAAATATTTGGCCTCATTCTTCTGCTCAATTAGAATGGCCTTATCCATAATTTCAGTCAATGATCCGGAAGCAAACAGTTTCAGCTCAGATTTGATCTCCTGCTTGAGGCCTGATATGAAAATTCCTCTCAATAACTCTGTATCCATATTCTGTTGTGGTGCTATCACCATTTCGAATTCTGCTCTGTATTCCTCCACAGTTCCCGTTTGTTTCACACTGAGTATAGGCCCGTACGGATTTTGAAGTAATTCCGGTTGAAATCTACGGATAACAGATTTCTTCAGCACCTCCCAACTTGTTTCTTCCGTCTGATTTTCCCACAGGTGAAACCAATTCAAAGCTCTGTCCTCCATGGCGACCATAGATGCTTCCACCTTCTCCTCTTCAACAATCTGATTCAATCTAAAATATCTCTCCATTCGTATTATCCAATTGTAAGCTCCCTCTCCATTAAACAATGGTAAATCAATTTTTCTTCCGGTACGTACCGGTAATCTCACATGCTCCTCAGTACGAAGATGATTATGGATATTAGAATATAATGAGTTACCTCTAGACGTCGCAGGGCTGTGCGAAGTCTGTCGATGATGATGATGGCGAGATCGCGACCTCCTACTCGCGCGGAATTCCTTGCTCATAGCATCCATTCTTACCGTCATGTTATCCATCATCGTTCTCATGTGTAACAGCGTTTCCTCAGTCGCTATTCTGCTACGTTCCATCTCCTCCCTTAGATTTTCCATTTTGCCTCTCGTTCGGACCATTCACAATTCCGATCGAGAGAAAAAAATTTCTGGCGATGCTTCTACGAATTTTCCGATCACCAGAACAATTGCTCTGATACCAATGATAGGACACTGGTAGTAATGAACACAGAACAATCACAATTCTAAGGAAAATGTAGCTAGAACAGATCACAACAGTTTATTGAGAGAGAGAGAAAGTCGGTAAAGGGGTACAGGGGTGGGACAGTTCGAGATGCCCAATCTCCAAGCTACCAGCCAATGACAAATTAACAGCCTGCCTTATTTTGTTCTCTACTTACTATTTATAGCTCATTGTCCACGCAGGGACCAACCGAACTAGCTATTATATAGTTAAGTAATAATACTACTTATTTCTCCTCTTGTACACCTTATTGAAGTATTGAATAGGCTGTTGCTGTCCCCCAAGCCTATCAAAATCCATCACCTGCACTCTTATAGTGAATCTTATTTTTAAGAGGCGTAATGCGCATCAAAGTGATATGGGTTTTGGGTTTCGGTTTCCTCAACCAATGCATGAGGCACAAAGCTGGGTGCACACTCCAAAGAACGAGGCCGATGATTATCTAAAACACACATATATTACTTGTACATGCTATTCTTACTCAAACACAATGTCATGTTTTGAATGTTAAATAAAGGGATATGCTTCCTATTATAGCACTGATTGTGAGGAATCCAAACCAAATCCAATACGAAAATCTGAACATATAATAGTCACAAACTCAAAGCCTAAACAAGTACAAACTTCAAAGCAAAGAAAGCATATGACCAATAATATTCTGAACTCATAATTGTGTATTGGAGGTCTAGAAATTGTACTGTCATCATCCTCATCCTCATGAAGCGCATCTGTGAAGTTATGGAGAAAAATTAAAAGGAGAGGAAGAAGAAGAAGAACTGAAGAACCACTTACATAACTAGTCTTGATGGTCTGATGAGAGTCAAAGAGGGGAGGTCTTACTTCGTAGTGGTTCCGAAATCGACTTCATCAGGCTCTGGATTCTCTTTCTGGACTCGGTGAGATTTAAATAAAGAAGCAGGATAAAGTTCAAGACACACCTCGTTAGAGGCGGGTGAGGTGCAGCAGCTCACACCCCCTTACCCCACCATAGGTGGGAGCCTTTGCGGCACTGGGGAATGATGATGATGATGCAAATCTATAGCTTACCATCATACAAAAATAAATAATGGATAATTTAGATTAGATGGATAAATAATTCATAGATATTTTGTAATAAGTGATACATAATCAACATCAAAGAAAGATTGCAGAAGTTAATAAAGAAAGTGAAGAGATAATAGTATGAATTGGAGACAGAGAAAATGAACCGGAAGAGTGTGAAGACTAGATTAGAAAAAGAAAACAAATTATGTAATTTTTTTCACATGGCATCTAATTGAAAAAAGCGTCTTATAATAGTATAACCTGCTATAATGCGACAGGCTGCATTCAGTTCAAATTGCCCAATTGATCGTTTTTAATGAGTTAGCAGGTTTGTGTGAAACTTATTTCCCTAAGAATTATGTGTTGGATTTCAAAAAGTAAAAGGACTCATTTGACTCTTATCCCAAAAAGAATTGCATCTTTGGAATAACCGACATTTGTGCAACCTTTATGCAGGTACTTGAGACTCTAAGCAAAAACTGCGGAGAAAATGTATTTCAGCAGATTGTTGAGCGGGACATTTTGCATGACATGGTTAAAGTTGTCAAGAAAAAGGTACTATTAGTCAATTTGTCTCCATGCATTCTTTTATTTTGCCTTTTTATTTGATGACACTCTTTCTCATATTTCAGCCAGATTCGAATGTGAGAGAGAAGATTTTAATCCTGATCGATACATGGCAAGAAGCTTTAGGGGGGCCCCACGGAAAGTTTCCACAATATCATGTTGCCTTTAATGAGCTAAAGGTCATTTTTACTTTTTACTCTTTTTAAATTTAGGTCTGTAACTAGAAATATTTGAAATGCTCTTTAGAGATATTCTTAGATATATCACAAGCATTTGATATGATCTTTAATGATAGTATGATACTAGTGTTTTTAATATAATATTCTGTTACTCTGTGTGTATAAATAAATCAACTTTCAAATTTAGGGCTCATTCAGTACATCAAAAGGAATGTAATTTAATTTATCTGGGAGGTGAATTATGAGAATAAAGAAGAATTCTATATTATGTAGCTTTAATGGTGGGAGTAACATTGTTGGTGATACGGACCTGAGCATATGGCGAGGGAATTAATAAAAATAATATTGAATATTTTAATGAGCTGTAATAAGGAAGTGGGCTGGGCCATGTTATTAGTAAGATTGAGGGGAAGCCTCATTGGAAAAGAATAAATAAAAGAAATAGAATAGAGAGAGAGTAGTCTGGATTCGAGTAAGAATTGGGATCTGGGAGAGTTGAGGTCTCTTTAAGCACCTTGTCTTCTTCTTCTTCTTCTTCTTCTTCTTCTATGCTTTACCTCAATAATAGCAATCAATTTACTGTCACAAAATTAGGGTCGTAACATTGGTATCAGAGTATTGCTCCTGGAGGAAAGAGAGTCTGAAACGATGGTCACTAGCACATCAACGATCGCTGGAATAGGGAAGGATTTCTACTCACGGGGAATTGAAAATAATATGGAGAATATGATCGCAAGTTCGTGGAGATGTGAACGATGTTAGTCCAGATGCACGAACGTTCGCTTAAACAGCGTCGCAGGAGACCTAGAGGCCGAGCAAGGAGTCCTGTACGTCGTCGGCCATCTATAAGCCCATGCTCGTCGTGGTCGCAATCAGTTTTCTCCAGTTCACCATCGCTAGCCGCTTCGCATCAATCGCCATCACTAGCAGCTCCTCATCGTTTGTTGTCGCTAGTTGCTCCTCAGAGTTTGTCGTCTCTAGCCGCTGCTCATAGTTCGCAGACGTTGTCATTATCAGCTTCTTCCAGTTCGCAAACCGATCTCCTTGGCTCGCAGCTTTCATCTCAGGTTTCCGAGCATCACAGTGCTCAAGTTTCCTTGTCAGGGACTGCATCGCTGAAAATGAACTCTGAGTTGAAGCCGGCTGAACCATCTATCAAGGAACCATATCTAGATGATGATCCAAATCATCATGAAGGTTCGAAACTTCCTGAGGTGGATGAAAATGGAATTCGTGCGGGTAAAGTGAAGGATCAACTGTCAAGGAAACTGGAGGAGCAGGGAAAAGTCACAGATAAAACTCAGGGAAGGAGGATTCAAGCACTGGCGTGGAAATCAGATCATGCTGTGATGACTGCTGGGCCTGATGTTTTTCTCTCTCCAACTGGGCTCAATCCTTTAATGTATCAATCACAGTCCTTTGTAGCTGGGACAGGAACTGGTGCATTCTCACTTGCAACTGTTTCTCTGAAGCAGGGGCAAGCTGCTCCTGGAGTTACTAATGGTGCAGGTTCTAAGGAGCTGATTGCCAGTATGCCACTATTAGAATTGCATACTGATGAAGAAAAGAAAGCAGTACTTACTGCTGGTTATGAAACCATTGCATCTATCCTGCTTTTTGACCCTATTCAACAGCTCTTAGCTATTGGAACCACAGATGGTAGGCTGAAAGTCGTTGGTGGGAAAAATATCGGAAGCCTTATGGTCTGGGAGCTGGAGAACAAACACTCGTCTTCCATATTAAAAGGGGTGTCAAACATACCCACATTCTTTGCTATCTATGGCATTCATTACACGTTTATGGAGACGAAAGATGATGATATTCAACCCACGGGACGCCCACCAGATAATCCGGAAGGTGCAGGAAATGTTGAGGCTGATGCCAGCTCACTTTCAAAGCCTGCTCTGCTCGAAGAGACAGTTGCTGAAGCTGCACAGGGCCTAAGCGAGGTATTGATGAAGGCTGTATCCAACAGAGTGACATGTGTATTGGTTGGTGGCAGTGTGTTAGTTCTTGATCTGATAATTGCAGATCTTAAAACTTCAGATAGAACTGTATTATCAACCGATATTGATTCAGCCAGTATGATTCCACGTCTATTATGCAGGGATTGTGGGAGGGGAAGATTGTGTGGGGTAGCAAAAGCCATTGCTCTTATTGGACATGTTTCCTTTGAAGATGAACACACTGCATCTATTGAGCTTGATATTGTGCATAAATCGGCTTTAGCCTTCGGGAATGTTACTGGAATTGGTGAAGGTTGTTTGGGAGGCAATTGGCAGGTTAGTGCTGAAGCAAGGCATGCAGCTCTTGCATCCTCTACAACATTATTTGGTTCTGCTGGTGATGATTCAACCGGTAGGGACCTGGATATTGGTCAGGATTCAATCCTACCATTGCTAGTTCAGTCAAATGAGCATTCAGAGCCTTGTACGTTGAGAAATGCTGCAGGGACTTTGTCAAGCTTCTGGCAAGGCAAACCAACAACACCATTTGCCTGGATCAATGCTGTATTGCCAGTCCTTCACCCATTCATCCATATGAAAGAGGAAGAAGTTTGGACATATATCTAATCTCACTGCTGGGAGTAGAGATCATATAAAGGAAATTATTGAGACATATATCATTATTCCTGTGGTACACCTCCTTAAAAATGTAGAGGGCTCCAGGGGCTATCTCTAAAGCGACATCGGGAGGCTCTCATGATCAGATTAGATGCTTTGCAGGTAAGGGCTGCATTAAGATGCTCTGCGATCTCCTGTTCTGTCAAGATCCAAGAATTGTTACTATATACATTGAAGGGCTGGAGAACATTCTGAAAGTAGGCAAAGGGGACAAAGAAATTGGGTTGAATAGTGGGGTCAAGTTATATGCGCAGATGGTTGATGATTATGAAGGACTAGACAAGACTTCTAATTTCTAGATTCAGGACAACAATGAGGTCTATGAAAAGGGTGTGAAGACCTTAGAGAAATGCTGGTCTGAGGAAGTGATGATAATAAAGGATCAAGTGCTGAAGCTAAAAATACATAAATCAAGTGGGAAGGGAGAGGCGCAAGAATGAAGTTGAATGGCATGGCTGTTTCGTACTCCCCCACCTTGAGGACAAGGTGGTTCTCAAAGGGGGGAGTGATGATACGGACTTGAGCATATGGCGAGGGAATTAATAAAAATAATATTGAATATTTTAATGAGTTGTAATAAGGAAGTGGGCTGGGCCATGTTATTAGAAAGATTGAGGGGAAGCCTCATTGGAAAAGAATAAATAGAAGAAATAGAATAGGGAGAGAGTAGTCTGGATTTGAGTAAGAATTGGGATCTGGGAGAGTTGAGGCCTCTCTAAGCGCCTCGTCTGTATCTTCTTCTTCGTTTCTACGCTTTACCTCAATAATAGGCTAATAGCAATCAATTTACTGTCACAAAATTAGGGTCGTAACTGTTGGCAAAAAGTATTCCATATTTCCATTGTATGGTTTACTTTAGACTAAGAAAGGAATAACTTGTATGATAAAAATGTCCCTACTTGTATAATTTGGCAAAGAAGTGCTTGGTATGTGATAAACTGTCCATGAAAATGTCCCTACCTGTCCATGAAAAAGGCTACAAGAGAAGGACTATTTTCTTGTGAGAAACCCTAGACATCCTTTCAAGCTTGATGTAGTCCAGCTTGTAGTTGTATAGTTTTGTTAATGAAGTTAAACCTTCTGCTACACAGAATAGGCATAACCGCATAATGAGCAAGTCGGTGAACTAATAGAGTCCTTATTTATACCAAGTAATAGGTCGATCTATTACAATAGTAATATAAAAAACTGTTATTTGTAAATTGTTTAAGATTGAATGATTACCAAATTTATACATAATACTACCTCCGTTCTTTTTAATTGCAACCATTTGACTGTAATTATATTTAATTACATATTAATAAACATTATAGAAATTTAATATTTTGGAAGTTCACATTACGAGAAATTTAATACGAGTAATATTTCATACATAGTAATTTGATTATATATATTAGTAGAAAATCGTGGTCGAAGTAAGGTGTGTGGATAGTGTAAAATTCAAAGTGTTGCAACTATTAAAGAAAGGAGGAAGTATATAAGTGTGAAATAAGCCTCATCTCTGGAGGGTTCTTTTTGGGGTGAACTAGACCTAATTTAACATGGTACACTGCGTCAAAGCCTAGTTCAAATATGGTTTGTTTATTTGTTTGGCGCCATGGTTTGAGTAGTTCTTTAGGGCTGTTCTGGCTAACAGCGGATGATTACCGAAACTATACTTAATATATAAGATGGTTTTTAATGGTGGTTGCGATCGCGGTTGGGGTCACTATGGTTGCGTCAGTCATGATGAATATTGCGGCCACCAATGCGTTGTAAACTATTTTTATGTTCGAACGGAATTAGAAAAAAATAAATTAATGTTGCGATCCCGAGCGGCCTGGTGCGACCAAATACGGCCCCGTTGTAGTTTTTCCCTTGAATTGAAATCTCACCGCCATTGCGTCCCGATGTAGTTGCGGTGCCGCCTGCAATATTGCGGGCACAACGCGGCATCGGGCATTGTGGTCTGCAATTTAAAACCCTGATTTGAAGTAAATTTCACCTCTTGATTGATGATCCTTTTGTGGTTTGTTTTACCCAACTTAAGAACTATTAATAACAGGAAACTAATACTAATTTAGTAGTTAATACTCCCTCCGCCCCCCCTATAATTGTCCCATTTTTCCATTTTTGGATGTCCCTTTATTATTGTCCCATACCATATTTGGTAACATTTGTGTGGCTCTAATTCATTTTTACTTTATTTCCACTTTATCAACTCATTACCAACCACATAATTATACTTTTCTTAAAAACCACACCACTCCCTTCCGTACCAATATTAGGGGGACGGAGGGAGTACTAAATAGTACTTGGTATTCCTAGCGTATCTTGAGCCTGTATCATCACACCCTTCCTGGACAGCAAGTTTTCTCTCAAGCTTGCAAGGAGTAA